CCACCCTAGAACTGAGGCCCTGCTGAGTGATATGTGCATAACCCTGTCACTTGTCTCTGACGGCATTTCTAATAAGCATTTCATAAGGCAAGTAGAAGTGACAGGGTACCAGCCGTCATCCTAAAGAAATGTTATCCTGAGCAGGCTCCACTTCTCTCCAAACTACTGCCTTACTGCTTCCTACTTTCTAGCTTGATGGAAGTCCTCCTCCTGACCTCTCTAACTACTGCCCTATCAGTCTCCTATTACTTTTCAGCAAAGTCTTTGAGGCTTTAATCAATGCCAAAGTGTTTAAGCATCTTACCTCTCACGATCTACTCTCTGACAAACAATATGGATTTCATTTTGCCTGGTCTACCGCTGATGGGCTTACGGTCATAACTGAATATATATATATCAAGCCCTTGATAATAAGGGTGAAACCCGAGCTGTGGCTCTAGATATCTCGAAGGCATTTGACAGGGTTTGGCATGCTGGTTTGCTATGTAAGCTTCAGATCTATGGTATTACAGGATGATTATTTGATTTAATCCAGTCATTCTTATCAAAACATGAAATGAAGTTTGTTCTGAATGGGCTCTCTTTCAGATCCTTTTATATGGACACAGATGTTCCTCAAGGCTCTATCCTGGGTCTTACACTGTTTCTGATCTTCATCAATTATCTTCCTGATGTCATCAGTTCCCAATTAAGCACTACCATTTTCTCCTGTCTCAATAGTAAATCCAGTAACACTGACAAAGTTAAACTGGCTGCTGCTCTCAAAAAGGACCTCCAGTGTTTAACTGGGGCAGGAAATAACTTGTAAATTTTAATGCCTCCAAAACTAAACTGCTCTCATTTAACCACCACAGAAATACTTCCCTGCCTACATCAGCATGGCCGATGCTCAACTCAGGGAGAGTATCTCACTGTGACTTCTTGGCCTTACATTTTTGACTAACTTGAAGTGGAACAACTACAATGAAACAATAGCTGCATCTACTGCAAGGAAAGTTGGTTCTCTGTGTCATGTCAGAAGGTTTTTCTTGTCAGTCCATCTTACACATCTACAAATCTACCATCTGTCCATGCATTGGATACTGTTGCCATATCTGGTCTGGTGTTCCTGCTGTTCATCTCTAGGTTTTCAACAGAAATCCAAGGAAGGATCTGCAATGTAATCGATCCTGACCTGGCATCTCAACTTCAGTCACTTTTTCAGAGACGTGATATGGCTTCCCTCTGTCTTTTCTACAAATATTTTCATGGCAATTGCTCTGATGAGCTTTTTTCCTTTATTTTCTACTAATAGATAAGTTTAGGAATTATAGAAATAGTAAATGTATATGCTTTATTTAATGAAAATAAACTTGTATTAAACAACTAAATTCTAGATATATATATATTCAGTTATGACCGTAAGCCCATCAGCGGTAGACCAGGCAAAATGAAATCCATATTGTTTGTCAGAGAGTAGATCATGAGAGGTAAGATGCTTAAACACTTTGGCATTGATTAAAGCCTCAAAGACTTTGCTGAAAAGTAATAGGAGACTGATAGGGCAGTAGTTAGAGGGGTCAGGAGGAGGACTTCCATCAAGCTAGAAAGTAGGAAGCAGTAAGGCAGTAGTTTGGAGAGAAGTGGACCCCAACTACAAGAATTTAAGCATGCAACTAGATTGACATCTAGGTCCCATCCTTTTACTGTTGAAATAGTTAAATGTAACTACCACTTCTATTCCAAGAGTTTCTTTTCTTGCACTTCCCAACTGTGGAACTCCCTTCCTCTTACTTGCTTCCCTGATAACTATAATCTTCCAAAATTTAAATGCAGCATCAACCATCTTCTGTTGATTCATCTTTTATCCTTTCCTAACTCCCCCATACCCAGTCTTTCCTCTCTTTCACTCTCTGTAACCCCCTACATGCTAGTGGCACTCCTGCCTTGCTTTGGGTGAAATGTTTTAAAAAAGAAAATAAATAAAATATTAATATATTAATTTATTAATAGTTAAAATTAATATTATTATTATTATTATTAATATATTAATTTATATAATAAATTATAATCTTTATATAATTTTCCTTTATTTTTATATATATATATATATATATATATATATATATATAAAAAAATTATTTTTTAAAATTATTCCTTTGCTACATAAGAGTTCTCATGTTTCAAAAAACAAGCGCCAAAAACCACAATATAATTATTAAAATTAAATTGAATTAAAGTATCAAGCCCTGTTTCATCCTCAAGCAAAAATTTAGGAATAACCAATCTTGAAATTTGTGCATCTTTATAAGCATGTTCGCTCACAAAATTAATTATTATGGGAATGGCTGGAGCAACCATTTCAATAAGGGGCGTAAGAGTTAACAATTTGTATCCACAAACCGAGGCAGGGCCAGAGTGTCCATTTCAAAATGAATGATGGCATTCATATACACACATCGTCTGGTCCAATGATGATAGTTTTAGAGTTGTTCTTGTATTTTTAGTATTTTAATATGGCATAGATTACTGTAGAAATTCCAATTCACAGTTGTAACAACCATTCCAAAGTGAAATTGCTCTATGGACCACTAAAATGTTACCTTGGGCTCCCAATTTGCTATTTTTTTTTATGTGGAATGCCCCCAGGAATGTTACATAGAACCTAGTTGGGAATCACTGGACTAAACCAATGTTCTTGTTGATATAATGACATATATAGGGAAGGGAATATAGGAATGATCATATTGGTTACAATTATGCAGAGATAGGTTTTTTGGGGTTTTTTTTTTTTTTTACATAGATGTGTGTGGGTATGTAGTCTAGCTAATTTCATTCAATTCCTCTATGCTTCTTCTTTTGTTATCACTTTCATTATTAAGTAGCCTATAATGGGATAATAGAATATCTACCAACAAACGAGAAATGTTGTAAGAAACTGGACGCAAATTTACTATAGATGATCTAGCAATCAAAGCACCTTTTATACATTTCCTCCTTATTAAATTGTTTTCTCTTTTAATTAAAACAGTACTTTTTATATCATAATTAAGGTCATTTATTACAGCAAAAAACTAATGCATTGAATATGTTTTGTAAAATATCCCTTCTTGTATTCATATAGTCTTTTATTTAAATTACGTGTCCTGGATAAGACAAACTATATCTAACAGCAAGGCGTCTGATCAGGAGGTTTTGAGGAGCATAGCACCACCTCTTAATTGCTGGTGGTCCCAGGGTGGTAGCACCTGTTAAGGTCCCACCTATGGGCAAATAGTTAACTCCAAAACTGGGGTAAAAACACTATGAAAGTGTAAAAACAGGTTTTAATACCAGAAATACTTTGTAAAAAAAATTATTTCCAGCAATAAATTTTTGAAAAAAAAAACTATTACCAGCTATACATATTTGAGGAAAAAAAAATATTACCAGCAATAGATTTTTGGAAGAAAAAAAAAATACCAGAAATAGATTTTTGACAAAACAAAATATTACCAGCAATGAAACTTTTGTCAGCATTAAATAACCCATTGAGGTTGATATGCCATAAAACAAACCAAACCAAACCAAAAAAAATGATTTAAATTCCTCAAGGTTTCTACTATGTATTCCTTGTCACAATCATTATTGCTACATAAGGTGTTGAATTTGTTGATTTTATTGTTGTCTATATATTTTATCACTTGTTGTAAATGAACCATTTCTGACCTTGATATAACATTCTTTTTTAGTTTCATGACAACAAAAAAGAGGGGGAGGGGGTAACAAAAAATATATCTTACAGTAAAATGTTAACACAGAAATATAATAATGATTAAAAAGAGCTAAAATATTCTCAAGAGAAAGGTGGGCAATTTACATAGGTGTGTTAATGTATTCGTTTCAGCAATGGCTGAACATTTAAGTCCTACCAGCCATCTCTCTGGAAGCAGAAGAAGTGGTTGGTGGGTTTAAAGCATTTAATGTTTTTTGCATGGTCTGGAATTGTATAATGTTTTAGTCAATGTGCACAATTTCTCCCTACCCCTGGATTTTTTTTCTCTCTGATATGAGAAGATCGATAAACCAGTTTAGCTGTTTTTAATCATTATTATATTTCCGTGTTATTTTACAGTTATATATATTTTTCATTACTTCCTCTTTTTTTGCTATAAATTGTTTCTTTTGTTTGCATTTTAATTTTTCTGCTTTTATTGCTCTAATGAAATTGCAGAATAGCATATATGGTCTTCATTAGAAAAGAACATTTTCTTGTCTCCCCATTTCTGAAACTCTAACGACTGATTATCATATTGGCCCATGGCTTCTTAGTGAATAAGTGTTAGCTACTTGATAGTTGAGAGTTCCATCCTTGAGTTAAGTAGTGAAATGCATTTAATTTGGTTTAATGAAACAAGTGGAAGCAGCCTCAAAAAGAAAAATGAATTGCTTTAAAATTACTTAATTTGTTTCTTTTTTACAACTTATCAACCTTTAGCATGTTATTTAAAGCCAGAAAATTTTTAAATTGTAATTTTTTTTTCTTTCTAGATAATAATGATTTAGTGGTATAAGTCTTACTAATTGATCCATAGTTAAGAGGAGAACAGGTGGATTCATACCCTTTCCCAAGTGTGTTTACGCATAAGTGAATATAACAAACCCAACTGGGATTGGAACTGATTTCCAATTGGAAGTCATTATCCATTACACCACCCACACATACAAGCTTACTGCACCTGGTATTCACAAGTGATCGTACGGGAACCGATGTTTCAAAGTGATATGGCCATAAGCCTCACTCTAAGATATCCCCTCACATGCACAAATAATTCTGAGAATTAATCTACCTTTGTGGATTGAATAAAGTATTCAACTTATAATTCCCGTTACAAAATACAACCCACCCCTAAAGAAGGCTAAATGGTTAAAGTTCTATGGATGTAGAAACGAATATAAAAATACAGTTTGAATAAATGAATTCATAATAATTATTAAAGATTAAAATGTTTAATTAAATCTTTACAATTCACTTTTTGCAGAATACTGGAGAGAAATTAAAACAGTTGTCTCGACTCACAATGATTTTCTCTGAAGCTGACCAAATTCACACATTGGTAATTACTTTTTTTCTGTATTTTATTTTTTATTATCTCCTCTTCATGTCTGTCTTTAGTCACTTTTTAATTTGTACACCTAACATATTTACTACATAATCATTGCTGTATCTGAATATTTTCTTTACTGTTGACATCTTTCTTATCTCATACATGTGTAGTGGAACAACTCATGAACTCGCTCAACAGGAAAGGTGTCCATGTGTAGCATGTGCATTCCTTTGTTGCCATCAGGATTATGGCCTACTGGGTAAAAGACGCCCACACCCCTCAATGAGGCGTCCTGGGTTTGACAATGAACTACATCTGGCAGCAAGCCCCCTGATCAAGAGGTTTTGAGAAGCATGGAATCACCTTTTAATTGCTTTTGTTACCAGGTCCACCCAGATCTGGGGTGGTAGCACCTGTTAGGGTCCCAGCTATAGGCAAAGAGTTACTCCCTCACTCCAGACTGAGGTCTAAACTATGAAAGTGTAAAAATAGGTTTTTATAGTAGAGGTACCAGCAATACATTTTTAGAAAAAGAAATATTACAGATGATATATTTGACTCTCGGTAAAAACCTTCTTTACTAAAATATGTCAATGAAACCTGATCTAAAAATTGATTTCTTACAAAAAATACTTGTTCTATTCATACAAACTTATCCTAAAAATCTTGTCAGCATTAAATAATGCATTGAGATTGATATGCTCTAAAACAAACCAAACGAAATGTCATGAATATGACAATAAAGATGAGGAGAACAGCCCAAACAATGTAAATCGTGTAAACTAAGCATAGTTTTCCCTTTTATCTTCTTTTGTTTTTTCTTTTTTGTGTTTTTTCTTCTTTTTTGTGTTTTTTCTTCTTTTTTGTGTTTTTTGTTTTTGTTTTGTTTTTCTGTTTTCTCTTCTGCTTTTCTTTTTCTTTCTTCTCTCTTTCTCTCTTCTCTCTTTCTCTCTTCTCTCTTTCTCTCTTCTCTCTTTCTCTCTTCTCTCTTTCTCTCTTCTCTCTTTCTCTCTTCTCTCTTTTTCTCTCTCTTTCTCTCTCTTTCTCTCTCTTTCTCTCTCTTTCTCTCTCTTTCTCTCTCTTTCTCTCTCTTTCTCTCTTTTTTTTCTTCTCTCTTTCTCTCTTCTTTTTTTTCTCTTCTCTCTTTCTCTCTTCTTTTTTTTCTCTTCTCTCTTTCTCTCTTCTTTTTTTTCTCTTCTCTCTTTCTCTCTTCTTTTTTTTTCTCTCTCTCTCTCTCTTTTTTTCTCTTTTTTTCTCTCTCTCTCTTCTTTTTTTCTCTTCTTTTTTTTTTTTTCTCTCTCTCTCTTCTTTTTTTTTCTTCTTTTCTCTCTCTCTCTCTTCTTTTTTTTTCTCTTCTTTTCTCTCTCTCTCTCTTCTTTTTTTCTCTTCTTTTTCTCTCTCTCTCTCTTCTTTTTTTTTCTCTTCTTTTTCTCTCTCTCTCTCTTCTTTTTTTTTCTCTTCTTTTTCTCTCTCTCTCTCTTCTTTTTTTTTCTCTTCTTTTTCTCTCTCTCTCTCTTCTTTTTCTCTCTTTAAAGACCTTTACATAGAGAGATCACAGTGTATTCACAGAAAATTTTCTGAATATTTTATATTTGGGCAACAATCTTTTTGTTTTATTTTTTTATTATTTAATATTTTTTAATCACTTCACCCCAAACAAGGCCACTAGGATGCAGAGGTTTACAGGGAGTTAAAGAAAAGAGAAGACTTTAGTGAGGAAAGGACAATAAAGGGTTCAGGAAGACAGAAGATGGTGATTGATGTTGCATTTAAATTTTTGAAGCTTGTTGGTAGCAGGGAAGAAGCAAGAAATCTGAAGAAATTTCCAGTGGTGAGGAGTACAAGAAAAGAAACTGTTCGAATTGAATTGGTGATTGCATCTAGCTACTTCAACAATAAAATGGTGAGATCTAGTCGCCAATTTAGTAACAAGCTTAAATTCATGCTGTCACGAACAGAACAGTTACCATGAAAATTGTAGAAAAAGCAGAACGAATCCACATCACATCAGCATGTCAGTGAGAAATTGACTAAAGTCAAGATGTAAGATCAGGATCTATTAGACCTTTCTTTGAATTTTGTCAAATCCCGCAGGATCACCAGACCAGATATCATAGCAATGTTCAATGCATAGATGAATGATAGATTTATAAATGTGCAAGATCTGTCTATATTTCTGAGATGAGGTATTATGTACATTATTTACATTAATCAGACTATTGTCCTCATCTTTGTCACCATATTTCTTACAACGTTTCAGCCGTTGTATGCTCCAGCCTTCAAGTGGTTGGAAAGTCGAACTGAACCCTTTATTTTGCTCACTGAGGTAGACTGTTCTAATTCCATGTGGATAAAAGTGGATCACAGTGGATAAAGGTGTTAGTTATATTCAGTGACAGGACTCAAAGAATGTGAGTTCAATACTCGGTTAAGGCAGTGGAGAACTTTCAGAGGGAAAATTAACAGGAGATAACTGATAACTGACATCCATTAAACATAACACCTGGAACTAGAACAGTCTACCCCAGTGAGTGAAATAAAGGGTTCAGTTCGACATTCCAACCACCTGAAGAAGGCTGGAGCATACAACGGCCGAAACGTTGTAATAAATATGGCAACAAAGATGAGGACAATAGTTCGAATAATGTAAATAATGTGCAAGATCTATTCTGACAAGAAAAAATTTTCTTGCATGACTCTCTGAAGCAACTTTTCTAAATAGTAGACGTAGCAATTGATTTAATATAATCGCTCATCTTCATATCCATAGAAAATATAAGCCCAAGAAGGACCTCTTGGAATTTAGCATCAGCCATTTTGATAACAGGCAGAAATAGTTCTCTGTGGTGATTAGTGAATGTTCCATTGAATGTGACAGACTGAAAATTTTATAAGTTTTTTGTTTTTAATTTTTTATTGAGTTTTCTAATTATTTTTTATGGAGACTAAAAGATTGCGCTCATGTCCATAGTGGTCATTGTACCAAATGCTTTTGGCTAATTCATTAACTATTTTCAAGGAGTTTGTTGTTAGCATATTTTCCTGTGTTGTACATGTTATTATTCTTTTTCTTTTTTTCTCTCCTCAAATAGAATTGTCGTTTATCAAGGTTTCAGAACCTTTGTGCATTATGTTCTACAGACAACTTTATTGTCCAGTCTTTTTTTTTTTTTTATATGTTAGTAGAATTATATTTTTCTAAACTGTTTAATTACAGCAATCAGCAGATGTCCAAGCCTATGACCTTTTGGCCGTGCAACCCACTACTGAAAAATTATTTCACGTAAGAAAACTTGTATATTTCTCTTCTTACTGTTTTAGTTTCCATTCATTTCATAGTTTAATTTTTCAATTCTAACTCACAGGACCCGTGAAAATACCACTGGTGTTGGCAACTAAAATCATCCCTTACCTCTGCTCATCTTTCACCTTTTCCTTGTACTGTCTTGTTCTATTCTTTAATCTCAGGTGAGAAATAAGAGTGAGGGGAGATCAAAAAATCTAAAATGATTGCTCATTTTGAATGATAATGTTTATTTGATAAATGAAAAGTTCAATTGTCTTATCTGATTGATTGGCTTGAGTTTCACATCAAAATGCTCATCAGAGTCACATGTTTGATAAATCTATTGTATTTATTATTAGTTCTCATATTTACACTCTTTGGAATAAATGATAATTATATCTTTTGAATTTTAAATTCTTACCACATTATAGGTTTGATAAAAATGTAACAATATTTAAATTTAAAATTAGTTATATATACTAGCTTAAAAGCCACCCTTTCAGACAGCATTTAAGCTCTGGATTGGGCCCTCATCACAATATGTAGGGAGGGGTAGATGCAATAGGCAATGATAAACTACAGAACTCAAAATAGATCGCTGCATTTAAGTATTGCATTAAGATTTAAGCTTACCTTTTAAACTTTTAACAGTAATTCTTCTGCCACCACTTAATTTAAAGACAATTTGGTGTACATAGGTCCTTACTTTCCTTACAAACAATTTTTTTTTATTTCATGGGTGACTTTAACTGGTTTTCTCAATTAATTTTGATTCTTCCCAAATTTATTTCCAAGTTATAAAAATTATCATGAAAAAATTTATTAAAAAAAAAATCAATACAAAAAGTGCTCAATATCATGGATACTCAACCTTCATACCTGATCTGATGATACTTAATATTTTAGCCAATACATATTCTATGTCAAATGGACACTCAAAGATTAGGGCTATTAATAACCACCCCATACTTTTTACCTGAAACAAGTTCCATGTTTATTAAACAGGGATCAAGAGACAAGGTTTCTCCTCTATGGACTTGGGTGAAAGGAATTATTTTCTTACACCTATATATTTGTATAGAATATACATCTGAAGAGTGAACAAATATTTTTTTCATGCTAATCTGATTTTCTTAATTTAAATATTAGCTTGAAGTTGTGTGTGAGGGAAAATGAGAGAGAGACAAGCAGGCAGGCACGCACTAGATTCAGTTTGGTTCTAAAATTTATCTGATGCAGGGAGGTAAAGTTTCCTCTGGAGCATACCCTGGTTGGGGACTAGCAAATTGTTAATAGAAGCTGTAGGAAATACCCCACCCTACTCCACAAACAGTTTTTTTTTTTTTTTTTTTTTTTTGTTATTCATCAACATTAACCCCTTCCCTGACATAGACAGGTATATACGTTTTTAGCGAAAGAGTCTTTTTCAGATACTGACAAATAAACACTTCAAAAACCAGCTACAGATGTGTTAATACGTTGATCTTGATTCTTTTTATGCCCTTCTTAGCTTGAAACAAGTCCAGTTGTCAACTCCTAAATCTGGTATAGGTGTTATCCACTGCTTGGGTACTTCAAGGTGCCTCAGTTTCTTAGTTACTATATTAAAAACAAATACATTTGTCTGAAAATGAAATGTTTTTTGCAAAATAAATAACTGGCAGGGAAGATTCAATAGAACTTCCGTCCCCCCCACCTCTTTTTTTTTTATTCTTAAAGATATTCATCAATTCATATCCATATATAAGCAAGTTGGTTTGTCTACCCTGGAAACCACTTAATTAAATTTTCTTCTTTGTTTTGCCCATTCCCTAACCTTTTGTTTGACGAGGTCTTGTTTCTGACTTCAAAACAGGCAAGTGCAAAAAAAAAAAAAAAAAAACCTCTAGAAAACTGTAGGCTTTCTGATAGACAAGAAAAGAGGTTCCCATACTAGCTTTTCACTTCTTTCACATTGCATTATTTTTCCTTCACTCACTTACACGCAAATACCCTTGTGAAAGGTATAAATCCACTTTTTCTTCCTAGTTCCACATGCCATATTTAATGGATGTCAGTTATCAGTTATTTCCTGTTAATTTTTCCTCTGAAAGTTCTCCACTGCCTTAGCTAGGTATTGAACTCACACTCTTTGGGTTCTGTCACTGGATCTAACCAACGCCTTTATCCACTGTGCCATGTGTCCTTGAGTGTCAAATAGTGTGAGTTCAATACCCGGTTAAGGCAGTGGAGAACTTTCAGAGGGAAAATTAACAGGAAATAACTGATAACTGACATCTATTAAACATGGCTCGTGGAACTAGAACAGTCTACCCCAGTGAGTGAAATAAAGGTTTAAGTTTGACATTCCAACCACCTGATGAAGGCCGGAGTGTACAACGGCCGAAATGTTGTAATAAATATGGCAACAAAGATGAGGACAATAGTCCGAATAATGTAAATAATGTACATAATACCTCATCTCAGAAATATAGACAGAAATGAATTCTTTCACTATTAAGACTATTGCTTTATATGTGGCTCCTGGATGAATCTATCTCTCAGACTAGGATTGTTAACCTATGACAACTTTTTCCCCAGTCACTTCATTATACTTTCCATTACATTTTATAAATTTTTACAAAATAAATATTGTCCAGGATTTAAAGCAAATGCTGCAGATTAAAGAAGGGATTATATTTATAATTATGAAGGAATGTTTGTAAAATATAAGTTTCCTTTTTCTTTTTTTTTTTTTTTTTTTTTTTTTTTTTTTTTTTTTAATAATACTGGAAAAGTTTTATACAAATCTATTTTCTTTTTTTCCCTTTTTTTTTTTTTTTTTCCCTCTTTTTTTCTTTTTTTTCCGTTTTTTTTTTTTTTTATTCTTTTTTTTTTTCTTTTTTTCTTTTTTACTATTTTTTTCTTTTTTACTATTTTTCTTAAAGAATTAAACAAGAAAGATTTTCTTTTTTTTTATTTTTATTTTTATTTTTTTCTTGATTTGTTTTTTTTACTCAAATTTTACTTAAATTCTACTTTATTTTTATTTTTTTTAGTTTTCATTTTTATTCGACTTGCTCAGGTAAATAGAACTTAGCCATTTTCCCAGTATTTTTGTTGTGACAAACCATATCTCGTTTCCAAGGTTTCTAACAAGTGCAGATACAGCCACATATCCTGGGGTCTGTTTAACAACAGACCCTACTTTATACATCAGAAGCTTCACAAGAGCAAACCATATTTTGTTCTCCAGGTTTGCAACAAGGACAGGATCTATCTTGTAACCCATGATTATAGTAACTGCAGACCATGCCTTGTTCTTTAGTAATTTTGCGAAGACAATCCATGCACTCGTCTCTCTTTTCACAATGACAGGCCAATTCTTCTTGAAGATTTCTACAAGTGCAGGCCATGCCTTGTTCTTGAGGATTTTCACAAAGGCATGTAACACCTTCTTCTCCAGGCTTTTTGCAAGGGCAGACCATGCTTTCTTCCTCAAGACCTTTATGGGAGCAAATTGTAAATTCTTCTGTATTTTCATCAATACAGGCCACACATTCTTCACTTTCACAAGGACAAGCCATGCATTTTTGTTCAGGGTTTTTACAGTGATAGGTGTTGCACTGGCTTTCACTGATTTTACAAGCACAAGTTGGGCCTTCTCCCCCAGAATTTTGGCAGGAACAAACCATACATTGGTTTTCAGAATTTTCAGAAGAACAGACCACGAATGGGTCCTTAAGGTTTTTACAAAGGCAAACCACATCATTTTCAGGATCTTTACAAAGACACATTTTATCTCCATTTTCACTGATTTTGCAATTACAGACAATACTTTGCACATCCTCATCCTTGCAAGGACAAGTTACCCAAGATTCTTCAAGATTATTGCAATAACAGGCTATAGATTCTTTTCCAGCAATTTTATAGACATAATCTTCCTCAGCAAGGTTTTCACAACAGCAAGACACTGTTGGTTCCTTTGAGTCTTTGCTAAAATAAATCATGTCATATCCCACGTCACTTTTACAAGTAGCATCTGTAGCATCTTGAACAACCTCTTCATTTTTGCCAGTTTGTGTTGAGTCTTGTCCACTAATGTTTTTATCTTGACAAATTTTGTGATCATTGCCTTCAACAGTTGTATTCTGTCCAGCATCACCACCCTGGCACAATGTTGCTGTATCTGGTTTGCAAATGTCATTTTCGGGTGTAGCAGTGCTTTTGTCTAAATCTTTTTTAGATTTGGCCATCTCTTTCATTGATTTAGCCGCCTCTTTTTTGGATTTGGCTGCATCTTTTTTGGATTTAGCTTCATCTTTTCCAGATCTGGTTTTATCTTTTCCATCATTTTCTTTTTTAATACTGTATTTGACTTTTTTCTCTCCATCCATTACATGAACTGTAACCTCATTTTTCTGAGCATCTTGCTCTGTTGCATTTTTAGCAGGCTTCACCAAGACTTTTCGTTTCGCATCTTTGATTTGTCTTCCTAATTCTTTCCTTTTAACATCCTTAAAAGCGCCAAAGAGATTTTGTTTCTCTGGATGTTTTAATTGATTCAACAAACTTGTTTCTTTTGGCATCTTGGTTGGCTTAACCTCGTCCAGCTTCTTTTCACTTTTTACTAGGCTTAAGCCTTGTTCTTTCAGAGATGTTTTTGGCCAGGCTGTGTTTTTAGTCCCATGGCTTAATTGCTGCTTCTCCCATAATTCTATGGCATCTTTCACCATTAGAACCTGCAATAAAAGAAAAATGAATTGATATAACAGTATTTGATTCACAAGAACAATTATATAATAATTGTGCTTGTCCTTCTTTTCCTTAGTTTCAGTGAAAGAAAGAAATGTTTGTCTCCTGCTAATACCTCATAAATTCCATTTTGATCATGTAAGAGGACAAAAAACATATCAAAAAAGTTATTTGGTTTCAGTGAGAAGATAAAAGAAAGAAGAGAATATAGAAGTGTTTAACATTCATTTCAGTGAAAATGAAAAAGTTATCAATTTCAAATC